CACAGTATTGGGGCCATGCCGGTATAGGCATTCGACCAATCGTGAGTCAGTGTCAGCTGTCAGTGTTTCACCATGTTTTTATAGAATCAATGATTAATTAAACCAAACTTACTGGAAAATGAGCACACCAGTAGAATAATACCTAAACTGATAGAAACCAGAGAAACATTTATTTGAGGTGTATTTTTTCTTTTTAGTTTGGTCCATGTCCCATCCACTAACATGAAGGAGGCATGACACCAAATGGCCATTGAGACACTTTGGCTCCACTATTGGGGAGCTGTCATGTCGTCCATCTTTACATACACTCTGATCTGAGGTAAGAGGTTCGTGTAGCACCTGCTGGTCCCCCTCCTCGTTGCTCCAGTCCGTCCAAACATTGCGTCGGTTGATGCACGGCAGCGCCACCGTGCTCCCGAGCAGCACCACGAACACTGCCTTCTGTCCATCCCAGAAACGCTGCTCTTTACGGCCTACATGGTAAACAACAAACTGGCTCAGCTTCAGAGTTGCCATGTGTTGGAGAAGCTGACAGTTGGTGCAGCGTGTGACACATACGTGATTTAGTGACGTTGAGCTGGACTCTGACTGTCTCGTACAGGTGACAGTAGAGGTGGTGGAGGTTACAGGAGTACAGGCCTCTGTCGTTCATCGTCACATCTGTCAGCACATGCAAAAAATATAAAAAATGAAAAGGTAATGATGATGTCAGGTAAAATCATTGTCTTCTATACATTTAAAAAAACAACCAATGTTCACTATTTTTTTGTGTTTTTTGCAGAAACTTTCAACTTTAGTGATGGTTAGAAATACATGACAGTGAACACAACTTCACCTTAACTTGTGCATTCAGGTGTTTGTGACGCTTTGACAGCTGTAGTCAGCTGAAGAGTGAATCAAAAAAGCAACGAGCAAATAAAAATGTGTAAAGACAAGAACCATGTCGGTTTGGGCCTAAAAGCAGATTGTTTCGGGAGTTTCCCACAAGCACTTGAATGCACCAACAAAATGTTTCAAAACAGAATGTTCCCGCCTCTGCTGACATCATAGATTTACCGTTCACTGTTTTGTGAAATAAAAAACATCAGATGTAACCAATTAAACGAGTCTCATTCATGAATCAACCAATGACAACCTCTAATTTTTGGGATTTTGTTTCTCAAGAAAATGTGTTTGTCTCAATGAAATATGGCTTTCATGCTGGTGTTTAGCTCCCTGTGGGGTAAAAAAAAAAGCATCAGTCTCATTGTACTATTTGACAAATCTGTGAGATCAGTGATGAGAATCAAGTTAAAGCCACAATGAGAAAGAAAAGCAAAGAATCATCAATCACATGAATCCACAACTACAGACATGAAAGTCAGAGACAGACCTTTGATGACCAGGGAGAAGTTTCCGTCCCTGAAGGCCGATGGGATGATACCGACCCTGCCCAGGTTGTAGGAGTTGTAAATCCTCTGCTCCCCTGCAGAGAACATGTCCACCACCCTCTCCATGGCGTAGTCAGGTTGGGCCCGGTACAGGTCCCAGTGGACCACCCTCTGTCTGTCCCTCACCCTGTCCCTGGTCCACACCATGCGGCCACTCACACACTGCAGCACCACCCTCGACCCGGCCGGGGCACTCACGTTGTACCCAGCCACCACCACACTGCTGCTGCTGTCGGACTGAGCTGAGGCTGCAGGACGGAGAGGGGGAGAGGGTGATGTCAAAAAATGTATCCTTGAATCCTTGAAGAGACATGCATAGAAATAAATCACAGCTGCACACACACACACACACACACACACACTCATAAAGAGGACCATACCTGCAAAGAAGAGGCAGGCCACAGGGACTGGAATAAAAACAACAGAAGAAAAGGATTTAAAAAAATATATAATTAGTTGAACAGATGCACAAAGAAAGACACTGCATGTTGTGTGTAGTGTTAAAAACATTGTTATTCTCAGATAAAGGCTTTCTTAATTCACATTACACAATCACATCAATAGATATCAAAAACAAAGAATTTACTACTACTATAAAAATGTGCCAAATTGGAAACAGAAGTGTAAGTATAGTCTTTTGACTCATAAACAGAAGTTAATGACTTTCTAACACTGTCCTGATGCTTCACACTCTGACTCAGTGAAACTCATCCGACACATCACCGTGTGTCAGTGTGATGCTGAGGTGGACGGATGCAAATCACATGGTTTTCATATCAGAACTTCTGAACATATCCAGATGAATAAAAGGTGCCTCCACGTATCAGCAACTCAACTGAAGTGATCTCTAAGACTTTTCACACCAGCCCAACACTTCAACACTTAAAGCAGTGAGACAGAAAATACTAAGAAACCAAAGAAAAATAGCCCACTGATAAATATTTGTTTTAAACTGTGCTCTCTGATGTTAAACTGTTTTCTTTTAAATGTGTCTCTATGTTGTTTTTGATGCCCCCTGTGCAGCATCACAAATCTTCCTCTCTGCATGAAAGGTGCTTTATAAATAAATCTGCCTTGCCTTACAGTAACAACAAGCACCTGTAACAAAAGTCAAATAATGCAGTTCCAGTCTACTTACTGTGGATCAAGAGGAGCGCCTGAAATATGATGTCCTCCCTCCTCATGTTGATACTTTCAAAAGCACAGACTTGTCAAACCTGGAGCGTCAGAGTGCAGAAGAAGATGTGTGATGTTTAACCATTCACAACAACAGCAGCTGAAGCAGCAGCAGCTTGTTTAACTCAGACTCCAGAGTGAGAAGAAAGGACATCAACACAGAACCAGAACAGGACTGAGCTGAGCTGGTCCCATCCGGGGGATTGAAACCTGACTCCACCAACACCCCCTCCTCTCTCACAGCAGCACTCCCTTCATAAAGAAAGTGTTCAGTATCTCAGGAGATGCTGACAACAGGCTACATTTCTGTCCCCTTTGTTTTGTCTTATTGAGTTAAAGGTGAAAAGGTTTAAAGGTTTTCAATTTTGTATGGAAAAATAAATCCCACTATTTAATAAAGACTTTGACTGTGGTGGTTTAAAAACCATTGACTGTGAGTCTGTGATCAGATAGTGTTCAGGCTGAATTGGGTAAAAGCTTGGTTTTTATTATTTTTTTTTTATTATTTTTTTTATTATTACTGGCTTATTTACAAACAGTGATGAGGGGAAAAAAATCGAACACATAATGATTGAATCTACATATTTGAAACTTAGTGAGAAGAAGAAGAAACTTATTTAATCTTAGCCTTTCTCCATAAGACATGAATTAATAATTATATTTAACCAGCTTCCTATATGTATCTATAAATATGTTGTTTACCTGTGCTCCACATTGTATATAATGTACAAATATATATGTATTAACAAACACAATATAAATAATAGAAATAAGGCTATACAATCAAATACATTTGCATTGTTATTTATAGCAAGAGAGAGAAAGATAAATTAAGGAGCAATAAATATTCAGTGACCCAATAAAGAAACAGTACCACTGCAAACACCTTGTGAATCAAATGCCCTCCTCATCCCTGGTTACAAGAACCAACATATCTTTGAACTTTATTTTAAACCAGGTTAGGTTTTAAATCCACATTCAAACTGTTCCTAACTCTACAGATTGAGAAGCAAAAACTTCTCCTGGTTGTTCTGATACTATGAGTTTTAAAATTAAATTTCCCATTAATTCATTGAACAGTTTTTGAATGTTCTCTGGGAGTCATTTATTTTTAGCTTGCACATTATTTGTCCTGTTTGAAATTCCACAATGTCTGTGAATTTAAATAATAAACTGTAAGAATGATGCTTTGGTGTTGTGAATGTTAGACCAGTGAACAGTACAGGATGTGGAGTCATTTGTGATCTAGAACTTGCTTTGCTTTGTTTCATGCAGAGATGCTTCTTGACAGTTTCGTTGTTTATGGTTAATGTGTGATTTCCAGCTAAATCTGTCATTCTAATTTCACCCCGCATGGCGCCACCTTGTGGAGCAATAGGACTATTGCAATAAATAGGAAGACTATTTAAACAAGAGTTGAAAAAAAGATTATGTTGTTGATTTGACGGATGAACATGATCATCTTATACAGTTCAATTCTTTTAATGAAAAGTTAGACATTGAATGCTCCGTCAGAGAATTCAGCCGCATTTGTAAATGAATTGCACTTCAAAATGTGTCTGTAAACTAGAATTGTCCAATAATAAAAAAATGAATGAAAAAAAATGCTCTTCTCCTTCATGCTTAATTTAACAGGCAACCACTGAACATCACCACGCCAACTCGTGGACCAGCTGACTAACATGTTTTTCTGCAGTTGCAACCGTAGCGATTGAAAACTTAAAGTTATATCTTTCATTCATAAAGCTTCATTTAATGTGTAGCACCAGATTGAGCCTGTGTAACATCAGTGTGTGCACCGCTGCATATATATAAAACATATTTCCCTCTGACACTGGGTCTGCTGACTAAAGAGCACATGAACTTGAATCTGCTGCAGAGAAAAGTGGAGAGGCTCTTTTTTATTATTATTTTAAGTATGCATGGGGTTGTATACAATAACATACAGGAACATAAAAACACACAAGGCAGGGGTGGATAATATAAATCATATAAATATCATGTAGAATTTAAAGATATTCAAAGTTTGAACAGCCTTCTTTGTTGGATGATTAGGAAATTAGGGTTACATATTGTTCAACATCTTTCAGAAAAAAATAAAACAGGGTACTTAATTTTTATATTTTCTATATGGATGAAACATTTTGATTTTGAAAAACATGATCAATAATTAACTCACAGAGGTCCTCCCAGAATGTCTTGGTGTGAGAGCAATGCCAACAAAGATGCAAGACTGTTTCTGGATGCTTATCACAGACTATTTGTAAGGAATCAACCAAGTGTTTATTAGATGTCGTACTATTATTAGATTCATACTATTATTATCGTTATTATTACTAGTAGTTTTCTACTACCACTACCACTAATGATGATAAATCGTCACAGGAGACTGGGGACAGTGCAGTCCTCCGGAACCTTTCTCGCGCTTTGTTGTCAACCGGCGCGATTAGACGTTACACCGTGTGCATTTCCCCTGAAACAAGCGAACTCATTCAAGGGTCTGTATCCGAAGGTAAACCAGGCTAACTTTTGAAACTACTCAGGAGGGCGTCGTGAAATTGTCACTTTACGTTTTTAAAAAGTAAATACAATGTGTGAATGTGGACGGTGGGCTTGTGTTAGTCGTTTTTGTGCCGTTGTTTTTTTGTTAGCTTCAGTTAGCTCGCACGCTTCTTCAGCACTGCAGCTAGCTCTAGCTAGCTAATCACCCGGTGTCTCGGCGCACTTGAAACCAAATGCTCTTCCTGGTCATGAATGTCTGAAGCTGATTTAATCTCATGTGCTTCATCTTCTCCGTGTGCAGGTCCCGTGTTTAACCGTACAATATGTTTCTGACGAGATCGGAATATGACAGGTTGGTGCGACTCAAACTGCTTTGTCATTTGTTGAGCGCCTCTCTGTGTTCAGAGGTTTGCTGTGAGGCAGTTCTGACTTTGACTCCTCAGGGAAATGATCAAGTGCTTTTGTTTGCAACCTTGTGTTTAATCTTGTAGTTGTGTGTTGCTAATAATAGGCGAGCAGCAAATCGCTCTTCAGCGAGTTAGTTTGCTTTCACTTTCGTTACAAGAGTTTTTTGCAGTTTACAAGGACAGCTAGCTGAGAGTTAAACTGTGAGGTGCTCCAGTCAATGTAAACAATAAACCCATAATATATTAAAGTGGGTGGGTTTTATGTTACATATAGTGGTGACTTTAATCTTTAAAAATACTCTAACATTCAACACAATGACATGTACATTTTTGGGGGGCTGGCTACATTGTCGTGCTGTGTTGAAATAATAGATGATCAATAATTGAATCTGTGTCTGTTTTGCAGAGGTGTGAACACATTCTCTCCTGAGGGAAGACTGTTCCAGGTTGAATATGCCATCGAGGCCATAAAAGTAAGTATCATGACCAACATGACTGTCCACCTCTGTGTGATGTCATATCCTGCAACTTGTAAACACATGTGAAACTCATACGCCGTTGCTCTTCCAGTTGGGCTCCACAGCCATTGGTATCCAGACATCAGAGGGGGTGTGTCTGGCTGTGGAGAAGAGGATCACCTCTCCCCTGATGGAGCCCAACAGCATTGAGAAGATTGTGGAGATTGACAGTCACATTGGCAAGTGGAAAACATTAGTAATTGAATTTACACTGTACTAACTGATGAAGTCATTGTGTCAGTCGTAATCAAAAATTAGCTTAATCAATTTCACTGTAGTTGTATTTGAAAAAAAATGAAGAATGAGCTTTTACACTCAGCTGTGTTTGTATTGCATGTTTTATATATTGAAATGTAAAACTTACATTTACTAAAAGAACAGGTGAGGACTAGAATAAAATACCAGAAATAAAGAGATACATAAGAACATTTAAAAGATGGAAACAGCAACTGACCCAAGTGAAAGAGTTGCTAAAGAATGTTAAAGAGTTGCTGCCTAAATTTCATAACTGGTGCATTAGTTATCATGGCGTCTGGCATAAACTTTGGAAGTTAGCATCATAAAACAGAAAATTGGAAATCTGTAGCAATTCCATGTTAATTTTTATTATAATACAATAATATAAATACAATTATAAAGGGGCATCCCTCATTTTTTAGAATTCATCTTTGAATTTCTTTGGTAATATAAGAGCAGACACAATGATCAAATTCATTTTTTTATAGAAATTTGCAGACCTTTCTCTTTCCTCTTACCAAACGTCACGAACCGAATTCTGTTAAACCGTAACCGAATTGAGTTAAAATAGTTTTTAATAGTTTGAGCAGACCTGAGGTCAGTTTTACTTTCTCTTCAGTGGCACTATAAAGAAAAGGTCTGGCAATCATTACTAAAATTGCATTGTTTAATGGAAAATATACTGTGACCGTCATATTACATTATACATACATACAAATAGATCAGTGGCAATGATTAAATCCAGTCTGAATATTCCCTAAGTAAATGTAGTATGATATTACGCATCTCTATGTTTGGCAGGGCTCATTGATGTGCAAGACAACTCCATCTAAAGGCCATGGAGTTTCCTAATTGTCTTTTTTGCCACCTCAAAGGTTGTGCCATGAGTGGCTTGATAGCTGATGCTAAGACTCTAATCGACAAAGCAAGAGTGGAAACGCAGGTATGAATGCTGAGTGCACCGAAATATAACCAGTTCAATGACTTTGTGTTTAACCTGAAATTAACCAGCACAAATTTGTCCTCAGAACCACTGGTTCACTTATAATGAGACGATGACAGTGGAGAGTGTGACTCAGGCTGTGTCCAACCTGGCACTGCAGTTTGGAGAGGAGGATGCTGACCCTGGTGCCATGGTCGGTGGTTCAGCTTGTCTCTCACTCATTCAAACTTCAGATTTAATGATGTTTGAGTCAGCTAACCTAACTTCTATATTTCTCTCTCCCCGCTCCGCTGCTTTGTTCTGGCACCTGTATAGAGTCGACCATTCGGTGTAGCACTTCTGTTTGGAGGAGTTGATGAAAAAGGGCCTCAGCTGTATGTAAAGATTTGTCCTCTTAAATATTTAAAACCTAAAATAGTTACACATTTAACATTGAAGTCACTGAGCGTCTCTGATCTTATGTTTTCAAATGCAGGTACCACATGGACCCATCAGGAACCTTTGTGCAGTGTGACGCACGGGCCATCGGCTCAGCATCTGAGGGAGCACAGAGTTCTCTGCAAGAAGTCTACCACAAGGTATCATCTGGTCCTTCTTTACATTCAGCTGTACATTTATCAATACAAGTTGTCACATTTCTACCCTGCGATCTTCCATGTAAATTAGTTTTTTATTAATAGAGATCATGTGAAACTGAAATGTTTAGGATTTCCTCATCCTTTGTTGGAAGTAAATCACCAAAATTGAGGATTTGTGTATTTTCTGTGTCCCCCTCTCTCTGGGTAACTGACAGTCCATGACATTAAAAGATGCCATCAAGTCATCCCTTACCATTCTGAAGCAGGTGATGGAGGAAAAGCTCAATGCCACCAACATCGAGGTATGCTCCTCATTTTTTTCCCAGTCCCTGAACACTTGTTTCTGGTAAACCTTTGCAGACATTGGAGAGGTTGAATTTGTGTATGTAAATGTCTGGTGCAGTTTTAAGTTTGCAAAGGACTGTAAGAGTTTAAATCCATCTTTCATGAAGGATTTATCTGTGTCTGTCTCTTCTGTAGCTGGCAACAGTTGAGCCCGGGAAGACTTTCCACATGTATTCCAAAGAGGAGCTGGAGGATGTAATCAAGGACATCTAGAGCAGAGGAGACTCTCAAAGTCTTGGTTTGAGTTCTGGACAGAGGAGGAGAGGATGTAAATTTACACCTGGGCTGAATGTCTCAACTTAACCACAACGTCTCATCAGGACATTCTCATCTTTTTCGATTGCATACGAGGGTTATCTTTGTAACGTGTTAATTGAATTCTTCTTTCTCACTATCTGTACAGTCCTGTACAGGAGTCTGACCAACACCTACAGCTGAGTGGCACAGAAAATGGGGGGGGGGGGGCTGGGGCTATTTTTTTGTTACAAATCAGAACTACAATTAAACAGTTGTATTCAAAAAGTGATGTGATTGTTGTCTTTTTTGTGTATTTCTTGTGTTTTAAGAATACTAGTCCCCTAACCCCAATTTTAAAAGATTTCACTTGCCTGAAAACTATGAATATCCAGAGTTAGTCGATACAGTTGAAGTATTATACTAAATTATAGGCAATCACTACACACAAGATTAAAATGTAATGTGCAAGAGGGCACATTAAGTGCATACACACTTTAAGATCTTTGCCACAATTACAAGTTGCACTCCACCTCTATTTTCCTAGTTATTTTGGCTTATTATAAATGTATAGCTTCACAGAAGGTGGCACCATTTTCCAATATCTTTTTTTTAACCTCAATCTAAATTTTAGTTACACTTTAGTACAATTCAACAGCACCACAAGTTACAGTCTCCAAAATCAGTGTTAAAATGGATTGAGCATGATTGTCATTATTATGGGAGGGATGTTGTATTAAACTGTTAGTTCTTTCTGATAAATTGGAAAGTAATTAAAGAGTAATCTGATGACTGTTTGACATAGTAACCCTTTCCCTGAAGTGCACAGGCAGTATTGCTACTGAAGATTAGCAATGGTATTTCTGCAACTACTGTCTGTAGAAGGAACCATTACAAACAAAGCATTCTGGGATCTTTTTAAGTGACCGAGCACAGCTGTTGTACTCCTGTGATAAGTCATTTGCCATTTATAGAGGTTGGGTTTTTGTCTAAATTACTCTGGACATTTCTGGTATGGTTTATTCTGTCAATATTGGGGCTTCATACAAAAGAATTGTTAAAATAACCAAATCTCAAATATTTCAGAAGTAGTTAGCTATCAACACTTTACAACACTTAACCTCTTATTAATCAGTCAGAGCTTGTAGATCAACTTTTTTAATGACCCTATAATTTAGTTGTAAGGGATGTAAGTGTTCATCTATCCATCTATTCATTCATCTATCTATCTGTCCATCCATATGTTACCAGTAATTGAAAAATATCTTTCACAATGTTTGTTCTGTTTCTTGGAATAATAAACTCAAAGAATTAAAGTTTCCAGTAGTTCAACTTCTCGCCGTGCATCGCCCGGTCTTTCCACCAGGGGGCAGTGAAACACGGGACATCTGACATTACAGCGTGAGGGCGATTCCCGTCGACCAATGAGATCGCGGGTTATTCTGGTGCTGACCAATCCGGTGTCGCGGTGGATGGGCCGTGATTGAAGAGGCGTTTGGTGACGGTGGGGGTGTGGAACCAACTCCTGCTGCAGAGTGCGGGTCAGAGTCAAGTTGATCGGTCTCGTTGTAAACATGAGCTCCGCGTGTTGTGTGCTGGGGCTCGGGCTGTTGTTGTCGTGTGCAGCCAGAGGTTTCCCTCAGGCCGCAGGAGGAGCAGGAGGAGCAGGGGGGAGCAGGGAGTTCTTCCGCAGGGATGTGGAGCCACAGAGTTTCCAGAGGTCCGAGCTCTCTAAACGCAGCGCGGGACTGAATGAACAGAGCTGCACGGCTCTGCCTGGAGGAGACCCAACCCTGAGCAACAACACCCACACTGTGAGTCACTCGTCCAGACTCCTGCACATTACAAACTGTCTGAGGGAGTGAGGCTGGGACTCCAATCCAGTCTGTGTGAGGCGATGTGACATCAAGATGGAAATAATAACATCGGTTGATATCAACAATATGTTTAAGTTAAGTTTAAAGATTGATTATGAGCAGATAATGATAAACACTTTCTGAACAGTAAAGCATAAACCATTTATCTATATCATTTGAACTTTTGCGATTGATGAAAATAATTTGATATTGATTTATTGCCTCTCCAGTTTCTGCTGTGTGCTGCTCCAATCTGTGATGTGACTCCTGCAACAAATACTGTCAATAAGAGTTACAGCGAGGAATCCATTTTAGAAACTGTTTCGTTCATCAATTAATTGGAAAAAGTCCATTTTCATGCACTGGAAGGTTCGAGCCTCTCAAATGTTATATTATTATTATTAATCAGCTTTTTTCAGCTTTTCCATGTTAAATTGTTGTTAATAGATTTGGGTGCAGGACAGTTCCTCAGTTTAGATAAATAATAATAACAACAATTATAATGATAATAGTTTGAATAAGTCACTTTCTATATGATAACATGACAGTTTCCATAGAGAAAACAATTACTGGATTAAACAAATGTTTTTAAATGACAATAAATATTATAATTGGTCTTAAGAAATGATCATGTTGCACAACTAGTTATACAGGCTCCAAACCATGGCTTAGTTTCAATTATTGTCACAGTTATTTTCTCTTTTAATTGTCCATCCATCCAATTGGACAAACAATTCTGTCAATTATCAGTTAAATTGCCTACACATTTCTCAGTTAAAACATGTACCTGTTCTCCAAGTCCACTGGTAATGACTTCAGTTTGCTTGTTTTGTGTAAACAACAGTACAAAACCTAAAGAAGCTCAATTTACTGTCACAAGTGACAAAGATACTGCAGATCCAGTCTGAAACCACCCAAAGTTTCAAATATTATTAATATGATTAATATATAATATGTATATAATATATGATATAATACGATTGACTTATTGTTTCAGCTTGGTCAGTTACACTTATTGAATTAATGTGAGTCCAGATCAGGTTCATGGCGCCTGGTGTTCTTCTGCTCTGATGCACCAATGGTACTGATATATTATTATTAATATTCGTCAAAAGTAGAAGCTCATCCAAAACTCACCCGGAAATCTTTGATGATGTCAACACCGGCCCCCCTTCTGCCCTTCCCCCTCTCCTTCATCCCTTTCAGCATCATCCCGACTTTTATCCCACAATAGATCCAACAACACCTGCTGTTATTTCAGTCGTGAACATATTGTAATTGGAAGCACAACAAGAACAAGTCCGATGTCCACAGGAATGTTCAAGAATACAAGAATAACAACTTGATCCAAAGTTAAAGTGCTCCATGGGACAAGTATTCCTCTGTGTGTGTGTGTGTGTGTGTGTGCATTGCTTGTGGTCGTTGTGTTACATCACTTCTGTAGCTCAGACACCTGGAACAGCTTCTGAGCATGAAAAGGATTTGGCAGACTCCTCCTGTCCTTTCTCTCTCACAAACACCCCCACTCCCTTTCTTTTGAGGTCTGCTGAACTTAATCTCAGCCTCTGTGTTGACTCCAGTTTGAGTTTTCTGCCATCGGACAATCCCACACAGCATTTTGAGCGTGTAGATTAGTAGCGTACACTCCTTCTGTTATAATTAGCTCTATAAATGAGCGGATCCAACAGGTCTCACTTCCTCCTGCTTCTCTTTTTGTGCTATTTCCAGCCTAATCGACTACACAGGAAGCGTTTGTAAAAACAACCCCCTGTTTCTTTTTGTATGTTTGTGTGTGTGTGAGGTTTCTTTTGCTGACTCAGTCTGGTGTACAGAAACTAACTCCCTCTTTCTTTTTTTTCTTCGGACTCCATCCCATCCTCTATCCCCTTTGGCAAAAAAAAAAAGTAAAAAAATATTGGTTTTTTTCTGGGGGGTGGAAGGGTGAAGTATAGCTGGGTCATGGCCAGCTGTTGGAAGAAAAGCAGCAGAGTTGATGTTCCACACAGAAAGAGAGTTAGGAGAAGTATAGGTTTGTTGATATGCAGGAGCAGACGTCCAATGAGATCAACAAACTAGTAAAAATAGAGGCACTATTAATAATAATAATAAACTTTACATTTAAATACATCACTTTTCAAGACAAAGTTAGTTGCTTTACAAGACACAGATAGTTATTTGATGCTATTAAAACAGGGTGAAACGTTGTGATTGACAGCTGTGACTGGCCTACGATTGGTCAAGCATACGTATCGGCAGGTTTTGCTACCATGGCTCCATCTCCTTAGATCATCACTGCACAGACTCTGGCTCCAGATGCACAAGATATCAGTGTTTGTGTACAGAATAATGTGGCGTCATTTCTGGATGGTGGGAGGAAGTGGAGACATGTTGTCCATCTCTATATACAGTCTATGGTTGAGATATTTCACTCCGTACCACAGATGAGGACAATCACTAACTGATAAGTAACTAATCATTTCTGCTCTCAGTTGAACTTATTCAATGTTACTATTTCCAAACACTATTAATCTGTATGGTTCGCCACTTCTCTTCTGGTTTCCCTGAACAACAATAAGGACACGGACATTAATACAGCCCAGCTCTTATCCCTGCCCGCAGGGTTTAGCCTGGTCTGCACAGCTTCGTGTGTTAGATCAGAGCCGGGGTGTTTCATCCACTCTTCTGAAGTTTTATGTGTGTAAACACGGCCGAAGCAGAAAGGTTAAAACCCCCGAGCGGAGGGAATAAGGAGCTCATTGTGTTGGCGTCTGAGCTCTGAGAGAGGACTTCACTCAGCTCCCACCCACTGTTAGCGTGCACTACGGAGTCTGCATGCCTGTATGTGTGTATCTGTGCATGAACATGTGTGACACTCTGCTGTGCAGCTTCTGTGCTCAACTATTGAAAGTTGACTGCACCTTAAATTCCACAGCGTCCTGCGTTGAGCTGCAGACAGAGATTAAAGAGGCCTCTTCGTAGCAGATGTGGACCCTTAAATGCAGCATGTGATACAGCATGAGGTCATGTCTGGTTTGTAAGTCTACATCTCTCAGACATTTGTCTTTTATAATTTTTATGATGAACATATATATTTTTCTTTTCGTATCTTCCTTCTATCCTTTTGTTTGGTCGTTTTTAGCGTTTCATCAATCCTCCAGTTAAACGGAGGTTCTCGCTCAGTCACACGACTGTCTCAGCTTTGACTCAGTCAGCTGACCTGCTTTATCAGGCAGATTGTTTAGGTTCCAGTGCCACTGAACTGTAGCCAGTCCAGTCAGCGTTTGTCCAGTGGAGGACGTAGGGGAGCAGACTGCTGGTTGAATGTAACCCAGGTGTACAAGCAACTGGCAGAGAAGAGACAAGGCCCAACATGAAACCTGTTCACCTGCAGTGACACTGACCAGATCATCAAAATCATAATTTTTATGATTAGATTTCAGGAAGTCATGTCCTTGTATATGATGCAAGAGACACACTTTTACTGTCCTGCTCCTTTCCGCCTTTTGCATTTATTTCACTTTAATACATAACAGAGGCAAATATTTAGTTTTCTTCCAATTTCCACTTTTTCCATTTGTTTTTATTTTTAATAAATTATATTCACAATATCACAAATTGTTACACTGAAAATAACCGCTGAAAAATAATAAACCAACATTCAAGTTCATTAGCTTTTAATGTGCATCATATATACAAAATACAAAACAAATACAACCAAATATTTAGAACTAAGACACTTTAAAAAAATGTTTTTTAACATAAATACTTTATATTAGTGCATTGAAGTTTGCATGGGCAAACATAAACACCAATACCAATATATCAGTCTGGCTGCAGCAGAAACACTGGTTTGATGGTGTGAGACTGTTGAGCAAACAGATCTACAGATTGCACAGATGACGGCGAAGTAAGAAATTGTCAAACAGTGTGATCAAGATTCCAAACAACAGATGGATGTGTGGTGAAATTATTCCTGTAGAGCAGCGATGGAAAGTTGTGTTCACACTCTTTGGACAGGCAGTGGTGAGCCATTTTCCATTGGACCTATTTGCAAGGAGTTTTCCAGCAGGCAGATCCGGCCCTCTCCTGTGGTTTTATAGAGCGGTGTACAGACTCTCCAGGACCAAGCTCACCTTGTAAACATCTCTGCCCTGCCAGCTAAAGAAAGGAGGGGGTGGAAATCTTCTTTTGACACCAAACAATGTGGGCTGTGAATATGCTGCTCAAATGCCCAAACACTTGGACGTCACTCTGGATCGATAGACTGGAATGTAGTTTGCAGTCTGTGAAGTTGTGAAATCTTTACACTGTACCTCAAATATCATGTGTCACATTTTGTTTTGAACATTTTTGAGTTGTGTTTGTAGTCAGAATAGAAGACCCTTAGTCTACATTTACTGTGTGTGTGTGTGTGTGTGTGTGTGTGTGTGTGTGTGTGTGCGTGTGTGTGTGTTCTGGCTTCGCTCGGGACGTCATTAATTGTTCTCTGGCCCCCGCTTTGTCTTTTAAGCAGGAATGTAGGTCACACATGCAGAGTGCATCCAAATGGCAGAGTTACTTTGGACACTAAGTTAAATTCATTCTGTCCCCTCGGCTGCTGTGTCTCCTGCGCAACGAACAACACACACAAGCTCTCTTGTGTGTGTTGCAAGTCAGACTAAACTCTGCACTCCTTAGCGTATTTTTGTTCTTCATGTTACGGAAGCAAGAAATACTGCAGCAAATTCCCAAATAATCCTCAGACAGGCCTCATGGGTGGTAGTCAAATGTTTTGCTTGATTTTTTCTCTCTAAAAACCTCCACCTCTATTTGTTTTCTCTCTCTTTTCAGTTCACCTTCAAAGTGCGAACCATGGGTTCACTGTCGCTGGCCTGGGTGGGAGATGGATCAGGGGTGAGCTTGTTGAGATGTCTGATATTATTGAAACTAAACCTTTCTCCACAAGTGTAAACAAAAGATGTAACACCTCATCTGCCTTTACCCAGGTGCTGCTGGTCCTGACAACCTTTCAGGTGCCGTTGTTCATGATGCTCTTCGGTCAGTCTAACCTCTACAGGAGGTGAGAAATCCCCGATGACACACTTGATGGCAATGGAGCCGTACATTTATTCACTAAGTACTCATTGTAACTTTGTCTCTGCGTCAGTGAAGACTATGGGAAAACCTTTGAAGATGTGACTCACCTGATCAACCATACCTTCATCCAGACTGAGTTTGGCATCGGCATCAGTCCCGACCACTCTGGGAAGGTGACTTTTTCCCATGTGAATGCAATAAATCATAAAACTAGTCTCTGCTGTTGGCAGAGCTCCTCCCTGATTGGTTCCTGTGTGTTTGGTTTCAGGTGATCCTGACTGGAGACGTGTCAGAGATCGGCGGGTTTCAACTGTTTCGCTCGCTGGACTTTGGCCTCACCTTTGTCCCGACAGATCTGCCATTTGAGCCCCTCATTCAGATGCTGTACAACCCTGGAGACTGCAACGTACTTCTGACTCTCAGTATCACGGTAGCAGCCTTCATGACCAAAATTTAAACCTACATCCTTCCATGATGGACTTGTATTTCACTCTATGATATTCTTAATGATAAATCATAATTCAAAAGTTGCAAATATTCTTTTTTTTACTGACTAAGCTTTTTGCCTGCAGATGGACCTGTGGCTGTCTGAGGACTTTGGCGCCACCTGGAGGAAAATCCATGACAGTGTGTGTTTGGTCAGATGGTGAGAATCATCAGTTTTGTATTGAAATTGAAAATACCCTGAACTTGTAGGTTCTAGTTGTAATAAATATAAAATAAGAGATTTGTAATGAAGCGCTTAGACAAACATTTGGAACAACAAGAATATTAAAGAAACTGTAAGAATATTTTAAAACTGTGAACAAAAAAACTTTTCTTGCTAGAGCTCCAGAGTGTGAGGAAGGAGACGTGTAACTATATATAAAGAACTTTAATAGTGATGAGAGGGGGCTGAACTTCATATTCTACCATTGAAATAACAGGACTGGAGAAATAATCCATACAAAGATAACAAATGTTGTGTTGTTGCCATTGAATAAGCAATGTGAGACCTCTCCACCCACATTATTTCATAGAATAACTCTGTGATGCATTAACTTTACTGTTATATTGTAATACAGTCCAACTGAAGGTGTGTGAAAACAGTGCAGGCTTTAGAACAAGTTGGTCCTGATACAGAGACATGATTGTTGTTCACTGCAGATGGAAAAACACATCTTTATGATCCATGCAGTAAATCAGTAAACAACAAATCTCACTAGAAAACAATGACATCAAATACACTTTATATCCGGGGAGTGGAATATTTTTAAAAACCTCCTCCTTCCGAACAAATAAATCAGACTACGCTCCCTTTCACAAAAATAAAAAACACATAACCTTCTCCCCTTCTGTTACAGTTTCATATATATAAATATGAAAATATACAAATATATTTCTATTTTCTACACATAGTTTAAAATGTGTGTGTGAAGAAGAACATGTCAAAGAGGAACATGAAACCTGTCCCCGCTGCCCACATGTGCATCTTTGTTCCTGTCGTTATTCCAGCTGTGTCTCCCATCACACTTCACATCACTCTCCTGACTCTGGTTTGAGTGTCAGAGTTCACACAAGGTGGTAGTGTCAGCCTGCGGTTGTTAGCGCTGCATTGTGGGAACATTGTGATGGCTCCGCGTGACCACAGCCGTCATTTAGGCCCAGGCCTAAATTGACTGCCGAGCGAGGGAGCCGAGGCTGCTGTCAGCACAGATCATGAGTCAGCAGCAACATTCTTATTCAGCCCACAGCCGTTGAACCAGCAGAATCTTTTGCAGTGTGAAAACCTTCGTCCCCTTTGGCAGCGGACGAAGCCAGAGGGAGGACTTGGAGTGCAGCCTGGGGGTCGGCCTGAGCCCTGCTCGCACAGCACTTAGAAGAAACCGCAACTCTAATCTGTGATCTCTATAAATTCCACAAGCACATTTGAACTCAGCAAACTCCATTTTTTTCCTCCAGATTCCTCCTTTCACTTTGTCTTTTTCTCACGTACAGGGGTCCAAAAAACAGCGTCTATTTTACAACTAACTACAACGGATCATGCAGTAAGTGAGGACAATGTTTTCAGCCTCACGTACATGTGAGTTAACACATCTAGTAACGCTGCCTTCTTTCCATCAGATGAGAAAGGAATGCTGGAGTTAAGGAAGACATCAGATTATGGCCGAAGTTTCCAGACAATCGCAACAAGAATTTACTCCTTTGTCCTGGGAGGAAAATTTGTTTTTGCTTCCATCATGACAGGCACAGTATGTCTGATTTCCTCTCCTTTAATATTATATAAGAGAAGAATGTGCATGTCTCTGTAAGTCTGCCTCACGCTTCACACTTCCCTGTGTTTCTTTATGGACATAAATGGTAACCATACACATTTAGAACATTCTTGTACAAAGTGTTTCTGCACTCCCACTTTAGTGTCAGCTCACCTAAATTAGAAAAACACATGGCCACTGGAATAGTTAATGACGAGGTTCACGCCTGGCATGAACATGATGCAAGGTGTTAAAGCATTTAGTTTGAATATGCTTTGTGATTAGTTCAGCTGGACCACATCTCGAGACGACTTAACTTGACATATCTGACATCTCTAACTCTAATGAGTCCCACTTGTTTCCCATTTTGATGTGTTCCTCAAACCACATATATAAAACTAAATAGAAACATATGCTTTAATATTTACATCCAAATTCTACAAAGATGTAAAGCATCAGTTATTACAGTGTTGTCCCCTCTACAATTTGTTTGCGGTGTGTGTGCGTGTGTCAGGGTACAGAGCGTATGATCCACGTGTCAGTGGACGGAGGAGAGGTGTGGAACATGGCTCAGCTTCCCACAGTCAACCACGAGCAGTTCTACTCCATCCTCTCAGCCAATCAGGACATGATCTTCATGCACGTGGACGACCCTGGAGGTCAGAAAAAGCAGAGTGATGTGGATGATGACAATAATGATGTTGACATTATATTATATTGTGTGTGTGTGTGTGTGTGTGTGTGTGTGTGTGTGTGTGTGTGTGTCTCTGTGTGTGTGTGTGTCTCTGTGTGTCTGTGTCAGACTCTGGTGTTGGAACCATCTATGTGTCAGACGACCGAGGAACTGTGTTCTCCAAGTCTCTGGAGCGTCATCTCTACACAACCACAGGCAGTGACACTGACTTCACCGTCGTTACTTCACTCAGGGGCGTCTACATGACCAGTGCACTCGCAGAGGGTGGGCATACACACTGTACAATTCCAATTTACATATTTAAGTCTTGGCATGTTTCTAATTTTCAGTTTTCACTTTTTCAAATTTCAAATGAAACATTTGAGTTGAGAAACTTGGTGGAGGCAGGTCATTTGTGAGAGTAAATATCTCAGTTATTATAATTTTTATGGTCAAGTGGAAAACTCCTTGTTTACAAATATGGGAAGGTTCAATTCAACATACTTGCAAAGTTGTTTGATTGAGTTGTAATTCTTTTCTATGTATTTTTTCATTTATTTCATAATAAACATTACAATCCCAAATATTAGAGCATCACTCTGAATCGTCATGCATATAATATATACAATATATATATGCAGAAGTCAAAAACAAGAGTTTTATTGTTTGCAGTGTAGGAGCTGAACTCTTTTGATTGTTATAGTAAATGAAGCTGTTTTGTAGATGGTGCAGTGGAGACAGTGATCACCTTCAACCAAGGAGCAAGGTGGCAGACGCTGCACAGACCTCAGAACAGCCACTGTGACACTGAGACCAACACTAACAGGCCTAACAGAGTAAGAGTGGTTTGATTCTACACTGGCTTTATGTTCAGATCGCCATAGTTGTTCACCAGTCTACACTTAGTGACACATATTGACAAACTGAACACGTTTCTAGAATGTTTTAAATAAATGTTAAAGTGTAACACTTACACAACCATCTGAGCAGCACTCGTATCAGTTTGTCCTTTATGGTAGAGTAGAGCTCAGCTAAAGCTCAGACCTAAAGCTCACAGATGTTCTGTGCCTGAAAAGGGTACAAACACTTTCCAGCCAATCTAACAGAGCTAGAGAGGATGTGTCAGGAGGAAAAGGATAAAAGATTCTCCAAATCCAGGTTTGCAAAGCTTTCAGAGACTTACACATGAAGACTCAAAGATGTAGTGCTGCCAAAGGGACTTTTTAAACTTATTTTTGTAAGAGAGATGTCTGCTTTTGATTTGTTTATAATTAAATCTCTAGCACAATACAATATGCAAAATGTGGACGGCTCTGAAAACTTTCTGAGGCCACAATATGTAGTTGAGTTTATTCTTTGCATGGTATGTTCCCAGGCCAGAGGCAGCTTTAATACATCTACATTCTAACAGCCTCACTCTCTCAGTGATGTTCACTCTCTTCGCTTTGACTTCACAGTGCAGACTCCACATCCACGCATCCTACAGCACCACCATGAAGATGAACGTCCCCATGCTGCCGCTCTCACAGCCCAACGCTGTGGGCCTCATTCTGGCCCACGGTAGAAAACGCACCAACATGAACATCTCGATTCAGAATGGTTTTACTTCAGGGTCAGTGTGTCACAGCATCGTCTCCCTCCCTTTTCTCCAGGCAGTGTTGGAGACGCAGAGTCAGCTCTTTCCCCTGATGTGTACGTGTCTGATGATGGGGGCTACTCGTGGCTGTTGGCCCTCAGGGGCCCTCATCACTATGCTATCCTGGACTCTGGAGGCCTGCTGGTGGCTGTGGAACACACCAACTCACCTGTCAACCAGATCAAGTGAGGATTTTTTTTTTTTTTAAACTCTGCCTGGGCGACAGCCAATAGCCGGAGGCGTTATGTTTGTAGTGTGATATCTCAAGAACGCAGTGAAGGAATCTCACAAATTTGGTGCAAATATTAACTTGAGATAAAAGATTAACTGATTCGATCTTGGTGGTCAAATGTCAAGGTCACAGTGGCCTGATCAACCCTGTATTTGGATTCTTGAATGATATCACATGTCTGCCTTTAGGGGAATCTTCTTCAAATTTTGACCGGTTGTCCCTCAAAGTTGAACGGATTTGATTTTAGTGGTAAAACATCACTATGACCTCATATGAGCAGTATTGTTAAAGTATAGTTTGATTTACGTAGGGTTTTTTTTCTGTTGTGTTTCTGTACGTGCTCTCTGTCCTGCCTCATTCTTGTGCGTACACCTCCTCAGGTTTTCAACAGATGAAGGGCAATGCTGGCACACATACAACTTCACCAGCAACCCTCTTCACTTCAGTGGTATGGACAGTGAGCCCGGCTCCCGCTCCATGAACGTCAGCCTGTGGGGCTACAGGAACGACTTCAGTAAATGGGTGGTGATCACCATAGACTTCAGGGAGCTCTTCACCAGAGACTGTGAGTGTGGGGGAGAAGACGGATGACATTCGGTTGGTTTTAAGGCCAGTGTTGAATCGGTTAGACTCAATGTGAATGTTCTTGTGTGCAGGTACTGAAGGGGACTACGTACAGTGGATGGCTCACTCTGCAGACCCCAGTGGATCTAATGATGGCTGCGTGCTGGGTTATAAAGAAACCTTCCTACGCCTGAGGAAAGACTCTGTGTGTTGGAACGGGAGGGACTATGCTGTCGCTAAGAAGCTGTCCGCCTGTCCATGTACAGTGGATGATTATCAGTGGTACGTAAATGTTCCCTCCATGTCCTCTTTGGAATATTGTGCAAGGTGGTGAAACACCAAAATACTGTGGTTTCATCCTGTATTCAGGGTGAAACCACATTGGAAAGACTTTTAATGTCATTAAGCAATTAAAAAAAACATGGAGCAATACAGCATTTTTGTTTAATTCTATTCTATTTTATTCTAGATTTCGGCATTACCCCTCAACTTACACACTTCTCACAATATTCTATTCCAAGTCACTGAACCATCAACTTCATTTTGAAGCTGCAGTTAAGATGAAAAATCGGATTATTTTGTTTGGTAAAGACGTAAACCCTCAGTTGACCTAGCGTTGTCCTACAGTGACTTTGGATATTACCGACCTGAGAACAGTTCGGAGTGTGTGGAGCAGGAGGAGATGACAGGCCATCCCCTGGAGTTCTGTTTAAATGGGACCACCGAACAGCTACAGACCAGTGGGTGAGGACGTCTGTGTTTTTTACTCGGATATCTCTAATGCTGGCTGGAAACTGACAACAAAACATTTCATTTAAAGCGGCAGTTCAGGATCCAAGAAGTTCAAACTTTTGTGTGTAGCATATCATGTAGTTCTGTATGTTCACAGGTGTACTTGTGCTTCTACATTTCCCTCCCTATTGCCTTTGATTTTTTCTCTCTTCATCTATTTAGCTACCGGAAGATTCCAGGAGACCAGTGTGAGGGCGGTTTCCAGCCCGACAGGAAGGAAACGGACTTGAGGAGGCTGTGCACCAGCAACGTCCTTTATTCAGATTCTCTGGTCAGTTCTGCTCACGCTGAGAACGTTTGATCTTTGGCCTGGTCACCACTGAAGATGTGAATATTTATATAATATATGAATCTGTCTGGTTCGTTTGCATTTATGGATGGAAACACACATTATAAGTTCAAGCTTGAATCTTGATCAGATTGAGCTGAGATGACGTGAGATCTTTTTAAAGATCGAAATCAGCCGGTATGAGCCTTTTACAGAAATATCGGTATGGTTTGGTGATATGCACTGAGATGAAAATTTTATTTTACAGTAGAAACAATGCTGAAAAGATGTGCATTACATTAAAAAGATAAATGTTTACTTTCTGTAATATTTTAAAGCTCTATATGTTTGGTTCCGTTTGTGCTTTTCCTTTTTTTCAAATGTTCATCGTCTGATAAAAAAATGTTTTACATCCTAATGTTGGCATCAGCCCCCAAAATTCCATATCAGGCTGTAGTGAGGTTTGAGCAGGATTATTACAGTTATTGTGTTCTTTAAATAATTACCCACTCTTGCCTTATCATCTATTATGAAAATCTTTACATATGAGGGGAAATAAAAATTTAAAAAACGTTGTCATGTCAGTGATACTGTGCATTTCTTGTAATTGTTTAACCTCGTCTCTTGAACTCTTAACAGACTGAGACCAGTTCACCAAACGCTGCGGTCATCGTGATGGTTGTCTTATTGATCCTTCTGACGAGTGGTGTTGCGGGTGTTTGGCTGGTTAAGAAATATGTGTGTGGAGGACGGTCAGTTAACTTTGTTTCATCTTTTCACACACACACACACACACACACACTGATGATGACTGCACATATTTCTCCCCTGTTTGTTTCTGATGTCAGCTCTGGTGTCCTCCTCAGGTTTCTTGTGCACCGTTACTCTGTGATGAGGGAACATGTGGAAGCGGATAAGATTGAGGGAGTAGATGATGTCGACACTCACTACATGGAGACAGGAAAAACGCAGTTCAATGAAGATTCAGATCAGGTTTCTGGTATTATCTAAAATACCCCTTTGTAATTATTAAGACATTGTGATGATCTATTTACTGTATTGTTTGTGTCTTCCCACAGGACCTCTTAGAATAAGGCTCCTTCAGACTACATGTCACACAGTCTCTCATGATGCCTGGGCATTCCTGATGCTCCCACATGCTGATTAACATCTGCTTCTCACTTCTCACTATCCCCTGGTGGCTGGAGGACTCAGCAGCAGCGGGGGCAACTTCTCACAATTGCTTCCTTGTACAAGTTGAGGCTTCCACAAAAAGATGTCAAACCGGTAGTTTGGGGAGGGGGATAAACCCAGTGTAGACCGGAAGAAAGCCTCTGGGTTCCCCGGAGAGCCTTTGTTGTCTCTGTCACAAAGAGTTGTGTAAAGGCCGTTGAGTCTGAATATGTGCTCTGTATGTTTCCTTTCACGCTGACCTGAGAAGAGACGGCCTTTCACATTGTGATGCACTGCAGGAGCACAATACAGAGACTACGACTTGGATAAACAGTTACAGAAAATGTCATGAAGAGTTAGGGAACAGCCAAGAGAGAGAACAGAAACAAATCTAGCCAGTATTTTAGTTGAGAGATTTTTTCTACTGTCAGTTTTTGTAAATATGCAAGATTCCGTCCTGTTGTGCGTGATGTGCCATTTTAACATACATTTTGTCAGTTTTGCCAAGAAAACAACTCTATGCTCATCAGTTACTTTTCATGAACTAGTTGTTTAGAAATCGTCAATAACGAGATGAACTTTTCCAACTAACAAAAATGATAGTTAAAGCCTCTAACCAATGTTATTCTTTAGTTTTCAGTGAAACTTTTGGAATAAATGTTAAAAGCCTAACTTTAATGCAAATATATGACAAGTTTTCATACAGTGCAGCTCAACACAGCCAATATTTTCTCTTCCTCTGTATGTGTGGTGAAATGAAAGACTTGAATTATTGCCAAAGCACTTTTATTGTTCAACTTTAAAAACTTTTGAGGGGAATTTGAACTTTATCTCAGCGCTGTGTGAGTATGACGGTAATGCTAATGCAAACCCTTTACTTGAACTCTGATATTTTTGCTTAACTGGATGCATCAACATGTTGCTGTTGTGTTATTTTTTTATTATGCATTTGTCTAATAATTTTAAAGCAGGTGCAGGCATAGTTATCAAGTAAAGAGCCTGTTGGCCTTTCTTCTATCACTAATGCGACAGTTACAATGCTAGTTCACAATCAGTTAAATATTAGCGTCTCCAGAATAATAAGGACTCTGCTTTTTAAAGCTAATATTTGCCAGTATTTCATGTTTTTTGTTATAGTGGTGCATCGGAACTAAAGAATCTGGCAAATGTGAGGTGGCCAATTCAAACTTATTCTGTTCATTAAATGAGTTTATTTCCCTTTAGATGAGATACAATTGGCTACCGTTTATATTATCAATGTAAGAACTGTAACTTCTGACACATGCAGGGCTTATGGCCAATGCTTGTATTCTCCAGCAGAGGCAATAACATCCCAGCAAATAAGCTATTATAATAGGCTGGCCTGATGTAGAGGCATATTCTCAAGGACTGTTGGGTGGACTCACATATGAACGCAATCTCACATGCTTGATGCTTTTTTATTTACACAACTGTCAGTAAGAACAAACCCAGATATGTACTGAATCCGTGAGTTATATTTGCACTGTAGCTACAGATCTGTGAAAAATGTTGCACCTGCTCCTCCTTGTACTTAATTTTTGTAAAAATGCTTGGGCCATGAGTTGTGATCTTTATTCAACCTTTTCTTCACTGTTTTCTAGGATATCAGAGATGATTATCGCTGAACTATTCTGTAGCACATTTGTTTCATAACAATGTTTGCATTTATTGAATGAAATAATACTATCTCTTTTACAACACTTGTGTTTGGGTTTTTGTTCATTTAATTCACTGCATAAACAAAGTTTCTCTCAGAAATCATTCCTGGTCCAACAGGCAACTCAGTGCACAGCCACTGAGATTGGCCTCTGAGTGATGGATGAAACATCTTGTATCCACTTTGGAAATAAAATAAAATAAATCTAGCCAGGTACCAGACTTTCTGGTAAATAAAAAGACCACAAAAAATAATTGTACTTTTTTTTTTATTTACATGATGAGTGGGAGAATATTGAGTGATCTATCGTCATTGAGTTTCAAGTTTTCTTTGTCATATGAAGTTAACATAGAATCAACAGTAAGATGTTGGACAAGAAGAAACAGCTCAGCTCAGCAGTGCAATAGTTAAATAACAATAAAAATAAAAGCAAGTAAAAAGAGTTCACATTAAAAAACTGTCAAATAAAGTACAATACAAAACCAAGACTACATGAGAGACATTAAAGCACAACCATGACTTACTACAGCCAGTGACAGCTATCTGACTACTTGTATGAATGACCTCAGTATTTAGAGGCACTCTTGTATTTTGAAAATCCATTGTACCACCTTTCAGCCAGCAGGGGGAGACACACTCCTGAGCTGTGCTGTACAGTTGTGCATCCGGAACTTGTGACCATACTCGTCTTTTTGAATCTGTAGTCCAGCTAGCAGCTAACAGCTAACCTGCTGGTGACGCCGAGCTCGTTCTGGATCGTCTGAATGTGCACTAACATGATCCCGTGCAGCGGTGAACGCGGCGGTGCGCGCGGGACAATGTAGAGGCAGTGAAGTTATGTCAACTCATCGCGGTGAGCTCATCGTCGACCTACGCATTGTTCAGGAATTAGCGGCAGCTAGCTAACCGAGCTAACCTTAGCTACACGTTAGCTAGCTCGAGCCTGTAGATTCGCCTCACAGCTGCCATAGTTTCTCACATGTTCCGCTTCACGCGTCAGCAGCTACTAAGCCGCGCGTGTTCACGGGTTTGTGTCTCTGTGTCTCGGGCCTTAGCTCGGCTGCTCCGGGCCTGGCTGTGTTAGCACACTGGACGCGGTGGGGAAAGCAGAAGTTATGTGGTGGTGTGCTGTTATGTGATGGTGCAGCTGTGTGCCAGCTTGATTTGTCGCAGCCTCGAACAAAGTGGGCCAGCCTCATGTTGCATTACCAAGAGGTTTTGGTTTATCGGTGATGAGTAATGCACGCCAACGTAACGCTGAAATCGTAGCGAGATCATGATAATAGACAGTCAGGTGCTGATTGAGCTCATTTCATCATTTTATCTGTGCAGACTTAGTTGGTTTACTATGAGCTCCCTATCAGCCCAGCTTCCGGCTTCAAGCTCATCATGCAGGACACTACCAGCAGATGGAAATCAGGTACAGGAGATCCAGAGTTACATCAGCTACTTCTCCAGGAGAGAAGCCTTAAATCCCACCAATAATGTTTATTTGATACATATTTAACAGTGATGCTGTTTGATATTCTCCTCAGGTGCAACCAAAAGCTCCTCTCCTGCAGATTCTGCGTGTTGCCGGAGCCCAGGAAGAGGTCTTCACACTCAAAGAGGTGAGCTGCCGGGTGGAATGTCACCTTTACCTGCAGGTCACTTCAGGAGTTAAGAAACCTTCATACTGGGGTTGGGTTAGTGTCTTGTGATGTCTAATATCCAGTGTTTCATGTAGGTGATGCACTATCTGGGTCAGTACATCATGGGGAGGCAACTGTACGACAAACAGAGGCAGCACATAGTCCACTGCCAGGATGACCCATTGGGAGAGCTGCTGGAAGTGGACAGTTTCTCTGTCAAAAACCCGAGGTACACACACAAACAACACCCCAATAAATGCTTTTGCTCGTTTTCAGTAATTCTGTACCCATCTAAAATAATACAGTCCGATCTAAACTCTCATATCATCTTTTTACAGCCCGGTATATGAAATGCTCAAGAAATACTTGGTAGTGCTTGGTTGTTCTGGTAAGTGACGGTGACATTTGATGTTTTATTTATTCTTTATCTGAAGTTGTTTGTTGTCATGGGGTATCATCCAAGATTACTCAATATGTGACTTTTTACTGTACATTGCACATTTCTGGTGTCTTGAAATTCAACTGACTTTTTCCTCTTTCCTCTGATAAATTCAGCATTTCATTTTCAACTTTCCCCTGAAATGTTTTTTAAAGGAAGATTCCTGGGAATATAGTGATTAACATACAGCTTTTCCCTTCATATTCTCAAAAGTCATCTCTTTTTTTTTTTTTTGCATACGTTGAGAATGTTTGTGACAGTTCACTTCAATGGGATTCCGCTCTAGGCCAGAAGAATACCGTTTTCCAGGCACAGACATAAGGCCTGAGTGAGAGAGTGTCATGCTATAATTAAAGGGTGGGGTTGTCCTTTTTCTGTTACTGTGTCTTATCTGAAATGCAGACGCTGCAGAGAATCTTTCTGTGGGCCGTGAGTGTGTTGAGAGCGGAGTGGAAGATCGCGGTCAGGTAAAGCCGAAGCATGGTGTCAGAAGAAACAGAGACCCCAGCTGCCTCTCTCACCTCACTACACACAACAGTTGTGAATACCAAGAGACAGGTTCAGCAGCATCAGTGAGAAGCAAACATATGCAAATCTCATTGTTTTTCTGACGTAAAGGACAACATGTACTGACCCTGTAGTGCTTTGGTGTAACGCCAGTTCACTAAGAGTTTGTCTTGAGAGAATAAAGTCAGCTCCTGTCTGCTTGTGTGTACTGAGGAGGGGGGTGATAGGGGCTGCTGTCTTCGTTGGTGTGCATTTGTACAGAGTGGCACCGTCTCTGTACAACCCCATCCTTGGCCTGGTCTGGTGGGTTTTGTCCTGCAGTCCCTTGCGACCCACCAGCTCCAGCCAGTGGATGGGGGACAGAGTCAATGTCTCTGTTTGTCTCAGAGTTATCTTCTCTGCTCCGAACCGGAGGATCACAGCTTCTGATCATCAGCAAGGCCCTCTGGCAAACCTAAACCTCTTCACCCGTCCCTGTGTTCCTACACCCTTCTCTCCTATTCCCTCCAAAATCAGCCTTGTAGCACCTAACTGTAAGCTCTCAACAGTATTCGCCTGTAGTCAGGCTTTATGAATTACAGGAGTTACTTCTAATTGTACAGTCCATTCCAAGGAGCTGTTGATTTTCAGCTGTGATCACACTTATATTTTTTTAAAGTACACATTTCATTTGACAGATCTGATTACCCAATGGGTAGATATCAGATGTAGAGATGTTTCAATATCATTTTCCCTTCATGATACCTATTAAGATACCCGGACTTTGTGTATCTGAAGATAGAGTACCGATCTGATATCAGTGCATTTAAAAAAATTAATAAAATGAATAAAACATTTGAACAGCTGTATATAGTACTAACACTGTATGGAAGTGATGATTGCACTCATTGTTGAATGGCTGGTGTCAGGTTAAACCTTAGAAAACCTTTTTAAGAACAAAAAATGTAGTTTTACAGTTATAACTTATAATTTAAGATTTGCCTGCAGGTTGAAGTTTGACCTGGCTTTTTCAGCAGTATCAGAGGCATTTCTGTTACTTGTATTGGTATTGAAACATCTCTAATCAGTGTGAAAACCTCCCACTTAACACCATCTGTTAGATAATTTGGTAATTTTGGATGTTTTCTTGTCATCATATCCTAGAATAAGTCCTTAGTTATCCTTAGCTTTTACATACTACATATCCAAACTGTTCTTGTTATCTAAAAAAATTGATCAATTAATTCACAGGCTTTCCTGTCTTTGCTTTCTCTGCCTTTTTAGCCTCAATATAGGTTCACCTAAATTTGTTGTAAACTCCCTCCCCACTGCCCCGTACCCTAATTGCCCAGCCCCTTACTCCTAAAACCACCACCCCATTCCCAGAGGTCATCTTGAGAAGGAGCTGTGAGTCCTCCCAGGTATCCAGTCATGGCTCTGTGTTGTAATTTTTTGTCCTTCATCTCCTTCCTCTGTAGATTTGTGGAGGTGTGGTTAAAGCAGGACTGGAGGCTGGCTGTAATGGGCCTCTCCTGCAGACCCCCTCCCAGAGACGACCGCGGGAGCCAGACGATGGTAAAGAAAGGCGTTACATGCTCGGAAATATGATCAGGACTAAACCTTTTTAAAAAGCTGAATCTAACTGTTTGCAAACCTCCTCAGACTCCCTTGAAGGCTTGCCACGTTCAGCCTGCAAACGGGCCAAACTGGATGTTACTCTGGACGACTGGGATCTCTCTGGCCTGCCCTGGTGGTTTCTGGGTAATCTTCGTAGTAACTACAGCCGTAGGAGCAATGGCTCCACTGACATCCACACAAACCAAGTAAGAAAATCTCAAAACATTTCAAAATTTTCACATAAACACAATCCAAGTCAGGGTTCATTTGGGAGTTTTTAAGCTTGAAAAAAAACAGAGATGATTCCTTGTTGGAAAATGGTTTAAGCCAGAAAGTAACGGCGGTGAACTGACTGATGTGTCAGCTGTCTCCTGCACAGGAGGAGGACACAGCCATCGTATCGGACACCACAGACGACCTATGGTTCCTGACCGAAGGCGGTAGTGAACAGGTGAGCGTGGAGATGAAAGAGGCTGTGCTGGAGGAAGGGAGCGGAGGAGAAGGGGAGGCCCTACCCGAGGATGATGATGGAGGAGGGAAAGAGGAGAAGGTGGATGGAGAGGTTCGAAGTTTTTTTAAAAGAAAATTTTGTGTTAGCTAGTTTCTTGCATGCTTGTGTCTATGAGTAAAGATATACTGACTTCTAAGCAGGATATTCTACATTGATTTACTGTTTCTGTTTTGAGAAGTAAATGTTTTCAGCATCTGGACTGAGGATCATATAGTCAGATATCCTGTGTATTTGTTCAGATGCAGGAGGAGCCAGATGAAGACTCCCAGTGTTTGAGTGATGACACAGACACAGAGATTTCCACCCAGGTTTGTGTTCCCATGTCACAGCTTTAATTTTTTGTAGTTATAAATTAAAGCGATGCCAATGTGTGACTCTGTATCTACATTCTTTCCTTCAGGATGCGTGGCAGTGCACTGAGTGCAGGAAGTACAACACACCTCTACAGAGGTACTGTGTTCGCTGCTGGGCCCTGCGCAAGAACTGGTTCAAAGATGTCCCTCGACTTGCCCATTCCCTCTCTGTCCCCGACATCCCAGCATGCAGCTCCCTCACCACCCACGATGAGGATGATGACAGCGACACAGGCATTGATGTCCCAGACTGCAGCAGGACAGTGTCTGACCCCATCATTCTGCCCTCTCACTCCACAGTGGATCGGCCACTGCCCGTTATGGGGAAAGGCAAGGGGCCTCTGCCATCTGGCTTCCACAAGGATGAGCTGCTATCAGGAGGGGAGAGTCAGGAAAACCTGGGCATGGAAGTGGAGGAGGTCAGGCCTGAAGCACTGTTGGAGCCGTGCAAGCTCTGTCGAGTGCGACCACGCAACGGAAATATTATTCACGGACGTACGGCTCACCTGCTGACCTGCTTCCCGTGTGCAAGGAGGCTACATAAGTTCCAGGCCCCTTGCCCCGGCTGTGGAAAGATCATTCAAAAAGTTATTAAGATATTCATCCTCTAAAAGTCACACACTTGTGTAAGGAGTTAAACAGAAAAAATACAACACACATTTTCAAACAAATCTGGCCATACAGGTGCATGCACTCACACACTGCTTTTAGACACACACAGAATGTGCACCTTGCCCTTACGCCTACACAGATGTACACAGAGATAGCACTTGGGGAAACTTGCTTTTAGCTGCATGGTTTATTTCGCGCCATGCTGCCTCTGAAGTATTGTTAAAAGAAATCTTTGACGTAAGAGTTTGTCACATCAAATCTTTGTTTTGGTGCCACATTTAAGGGACATGCAAAGGCAGAAATATTTATTTATTTATTTGATCACAGAAATGCACAGGTTGTGTGAACCATTTTTTGACTTCATGAAGGCTTGTCTATGTGAAATCTTCTCATTGCATTCCTTGAATGGTGCCATTTTAAAATCTAGTATTGTTTGCCTTCCTTCTGTTAGTTTCTCCATAGATTCACTTCAATAATCACCTCGACAAAACTCAACAGGTATGTAACAACAGACTTTCTTACTTAAAGCATTCTCTAGGCTTTTCTTTGTACTGATTTGAGTTATGAAGATGAGACTGAACAGGCTGGCTCTAAAAAAAGAACCCGATTTTGATTTCAACAGTTCCATCTCCATGAAAATATTCTCCTGAAACTTTTCTTTAAAAAAATACAAAATGTGATTGTTTAAGTCTTGTTTCTCAAATTGGTATTTTAAGATGCATAATTGAATTTAACCTGCTTGAGAATGCACAGCTGAAGTATTTACAGTAGTTTTCTCTCGGGGTAGTAATTTGATGTTAAATATGTATTCAATATGTACAATTGCCAAGCCTCTAATGACAGTTATACCTGCAGTAATTAATGTCATATAATTGTCGGTAAATGTCTAAATGGTATCAGTCAGGGTCAGTTTACTGCCCTTTCCTGAGCTTAAAATGAATGAACAATTTCTGTATATTTTGTATTTAATGTATTTATGATTCTGTTTTGTTTAGATGTTCACATATAATGAAGCAGAAAAGTGCTGCACTTGTTTCACAGTTCAGATGTGAGTCCGTAAGGAAAGTTACCAAATGTACCCTCTGTGGAATTAACTGTGCAGCACTTACTAGAGTATGAGGGTATGATTTAAGCGTTACACTGCCAAGTAATAACTTTTAACTTTAATTTGTATATAATAGATTTTATTTTAATGGGTCTGCATTATTTGAAGATTGTAGATGCTATTTACTTTTGGTGCGCGCGTCATCTTATATGCTCTTCAGCTTTCAAGAAATGTTAAGAGGCATTTAACTCTCGGCTCCGCCTGATGTAGCATTGTTCTTTGTTCTGCTCTTGTACTTAATCTTTCTGCCAGCAGGTGGGGAGAAGACTCAATATTGTATACGCTGCACACTGAAGCTGTACATAACCAGCAGAAACATGTTATGCATATATAGAGCATGCCTCCTGTCGTAACCAGCACTGGCATTGAGCTGGTGTGAGAGCTCTATAGACTATATAAAAGCTGTAAAAAGTTAAAGTAGCCTTGTTGTTATTTCTCATCATCATTGTGCACCCTGAGAGGCAGGGTTCTAGATACAGAACTATTAAAGTGGTTAGTGTGAAGTATACCAGTGGTTCTGATCCAGAATGATAATGACAATGTTATTGCAAATTATTGATATTAGGACTAAAATGTGCTCAGAGATGGTACAGCTAATATAGTAGTGTTGGTTTTTCTTTACTGGTCATGGAATAAAACGCTTGTTTTGTAAAGCAAGAAAGAGTTGGGACCTAATTGTTTCATTTGGGCCACTTTCTCTACAGAGGGACAGTTGACGTACAGTGCCCACTGGTGAATTCAGTGTGTGTGTTTTGGTTGAAGAATAAGTCATTGTATGACAGGCCAGCTGTCATGTGTCCTCTCTGTCTTGACAGGGCTTCAGCACCTGTGACTCTGCTTCCTCACTGTTCTGCTGCTGCTTGTATGTGTCTGCTGCCTTTTTGTCCACTTAATAAGAGGTGAGGACACATATTGACCTTTAGTATACAGCATACTGAGAGTAAACAGTGTGACTGTTTTACCCCAAAGTGATATTTAGATACTGACCATATGTCTATAACTCCTCCATTTCAGTTGTCATTGCTGCTCCCTTCATCAAACATTGAGACACATTTCCATCATGTTAAAAACTCTTTCTTCTAATCAATGTTGTAAATATTGTAATTTTGTTGATGTGTTCAGCTACATCTGTTGCACTCCTGTCTGTCCTGGGAGGGTGACCCCTCACATGTGGCTCTCTGAGGTCTCTAGGTTTTCCCTGCAGGGTTTGTTTTTGGTAGTTCTTCCTTACTCCTTTTGAGGGCTAAGGACAGAGGATGTCGCACCTTGTTAAGCCCTATGAGACAAATTGTGATTTGTGAATATGGGCTATACAAATAATGTTTGATTGATTATGAGGGGAATTTTCCTCAATGTGGAAAGTCCCCTCCACCATCTGAAACCTCATGAAGGTTCTCCAAAACACCCAAGGTTCAAATTCATAATCACTTGACACACATTTCCATAAATATAAATTCTTTATTCAAGGTGAAGAAAAAAATATGATCATTTAAGGCGGCAGCTTTACTCCAATCTGAACTTAAATCTGAACCACCTATTGTTTTCAATAGGTGGTTCAGATTTAAATTCTTATGTTAATGTTTCAGTACCACATTCAAAATATTCACTCTCAGGTATAAGCTCTGCATTGAAAATGTTTAATACAAGTACTTGAGTTTTATCAAGAAACTAAATTTTAATTATTACATAAAAACGTTCTGGTATCAGTCTGGTATATTATTATATATAAATTGCTTACTTAATATCTCTTTGATTTCCTCTTGTATATTGTGTAAGCAGCATTCTACTGTTACAAGTGGTTGCCATAGAGATAAACCACCGATCTTAAGGGAACACTCAATCGTCAGTATAACAGCAAGTCATTTAAACTTCAGGGATATCAATCTGTCCTTTTAGGAAGCACAAGTGATAATGAATCAGTTTCACCCACTTTGGTGCAAATTAAAGTGAAAACAGGTGCAATCGAGAAGAAGAATCAAGGGAATGGTTTTGTGTGTGCTGGCCACAGACAGCTGCTCTCCCTTTTTCCTTCCTGACTAATTCTTAAGTTTTGTGTTCTGCTAGTGTCGTAGTCACTACTGGTAGCATGTGGTACCTGCAGTCCGTTCAGGTTGCACAGGTGGTCCAGCTCCTCCGTATGTGCGGTCGCGAAAAGGTTTGCTGTGTCTCACAGCACAATCTCAAGAGCATGGAGGAGATACCAGGAGAATGGCAGTTACACTGGCTGGACTGGGCCGTAGAAGCGCATCAACCCATCAGCAGGACCAGTATCTGCTCCTTTGTATGAGGAGGAACAGGAGGATCACTGCCAGAGCCCTACAAAATGACCTCCATCATTTTGTTCACAACAAATTATAGCATGTACATCAGTAAAGATCTGATGTGTGATTTAAGTGTTCCCCTAACTTTTTGGAGCAGTGTATTTCGTAAAGGGCTGCATTTCATATATGCATCTCTCTATTTTTAATAGTAAATGTCACATCTCAAAGCTGCCTCTTTTGTCCAGCCTGTCATCCCAATCTCTAAAATACTAAAAGCAGCAAACTCTCAAAATATGTGAGAGTAAATCACATCAGCTGGTTGACATTTGTAGACATTTAAATACTTGCAGCACAGTTTTTTGTATTTCTACTCATAGGGTTTTGAATGGAGTAAAATGTATTGTAGTTTCCACCACAGACCAGGAAGGAAGGTCTGTCGTGTCCTCCCACTGACACTACAGCTCTAAACGTTCCTAACGGTCATACCAAAATGTTTCCTCCCACTGCGTCTAATTCGAGAATGGCATACTAGCTTTGTCAGTGGCGTCTAGCATGTCACTGAGTGTAGAGATGAAGAATGGCACAACACCCCTGGCAACATGGCAGCCGGAGCTTGGCAACTTTCGAATGGCATGGCTCAGGGAGTGGTCGGGGGGGATCTTCATGTTTCCATGGCGACAGTTTCTCCATCCCAACATCCCAGAATAACTTAACACATTCTCCCTTCATCCCTCATGGTGTATGTAATACTTCCTGGAGGGAAAATAGTTAGGATGGAGGCTCTTTACTGAGCATTGCTCCCATATTTTTGACCACTTCATTACGCCCACTGCCTTCAATCAGTTCTTTGAAGCATCTTTATATAAGTTATATTTCCTTTGTCCTTCGTCTACATTCCTCCAGCACGGCCTGTTTACCTTCCCTCGCCATCTTCAGCTTATGTGTCTGAGTATCTGTAACTGTATCCATGTGACCTGGACCTTCTTTTCTCACCTCCATGCAGACACACATACACATCACACACACATTCCTGCTGTTGTGTCCAACTATTTGGTCGCTCAAGAAACCAGGCGGCTAAATTTGTCCCACTGCTGACATGGGAGAAGGTCAGTGGAGCCAGAGAAAAACAAAGATAGGACTATATGGAAAGAGTCATAAAGATGGGGGAGGATTTCAAAATAAGAGTAGGACTAGCAGAGGGATCGAGATGTGACACCTAAGCTTGTCGTTCCTTGTACGCACAGCAGGAAGCCAGATATGATGTTGAAAACCTGGACGGACGAGGATCAGGGTGTAGTTTTCACATAGTCATCCACTTAGACCTCACAACATCACTGTGCCTGCGTTCACACATTAATGGCCCCAGACAGAATTCAGCCAAGTCCCTCAAGGGCTGATTGTGGTTTGCACATTGGCCACGTCAAGGTGTAAATTGCTTACAAATTGAAATGGATGATTTTATGAGGGTCTGGCTCTCCCCTGTCGGATACCTTTCTGATGAACTGAGGTTAAACTGGCAGTGTCACATAGATGGATGTTTACCACATTAAACAGGCTATGTTTTCATCTGCATTCGCAGGATTAGGCAAAAACTGCTAGGCAGATTATCACGAAACTTGGTGGTAGGATTTGGTATGGGTCAGGAAAGAACTCATTCGATTTTGGTATGAATCCAACTTTTTTGTGTTCTTCAGAAATTGCGAGAGACGTTGTCTTCCAATATTTTCATTTCTTGTTTGAGAACCATAATGCCCAACAGTCTAATTAAAACACTTAAATTCAGTAAATCTGGATTTTCAACTTCAACTTTACTGTCCCCGAGGAGAAATTCATTTTGCAGCCAGGCAAAAGAATTCACAGGAAACACTGGCACACAGACTCGGGCAGAAGAATGAAAAACATTGAAATACATAAACTAATACATCAAATAACAGAACAGAACATGTCAAACCATCAATTAAAAAAATAAGACCCTCATCAGGGGTGAACAGAAAATGTCTATGTTCAACCTGTTTGAATTAGACTTTGGTTATCTGTATCCCCTGCCTGAGGGCAGAAGCCCAAGTTCAGCAAAGAGAGGATGTCGAGGACACTGTAAAATGTCTCGAGCCTCAGCTGCGGCTCTCTAACCAAAGGGCAGAGACAGGTCAAGTAACCTAATGCCAATGATGTTACATGCAACTTGAATGATGTGTTGCAATTTAGACACTCCCTTTAACCTGCCTGTTTTTTTTATTTTTATTAAGATCCTTGAATTATTCTCTGTAAAATCAACAATAATATTGAAAAATGCCCTATTTCACTATGTTACAGAAAGTTCACCAAAAAATGATTCACTCATTATCTACTCACCACAATGCCGATGGAGGGGTGGGTGAAGTGTTTGAGTCCACAAAACCCTTTTGGAGTTTCATGTGTAAACAGCTTTGTAGCCAAATACAATACAATTGAAGTAAATGGTGACAGCGTCTTCAAATGTAAAAAGCAACATCAAAACATAAAATGCCTCCATACTGTTATCCAAGTGTCCGTAAGCCCCAACATTAAAATTCGACTCAAAACAAGTTCATTTACATCATGTTTATAGCCTAAATATCAGCTGTGATCCACTCGCGAACACTGATTGAGGTGAGTAGATAATGAGTGAATTTTCCTATGTAGGTGAACTATCCCGTTAATGGGTTCTTACTTGGGTCATGCCCCACCCTTCCACTAGAATTCATGTAAATCAGTTTACATACATTTTTAATCCCGCTGACAAACAAAAAACATAGACGAAAACATAACCTCCTTAGTGGATGAGATCATTAAATCAGATCCAATTAAGAGCCTGGATTGAATTTAAATCTGGTATCATGAGGGGACTGCTGGGCCTTGATCGAGGTATTCGCTCTCCTGAGTTTTCTGCTGTGATGCCTCTTTTGAGTTGTCATACAAACTGTGGCATCATTGGAACATACAGTGGGTGGTGTAAATAATCGGACTGTTTGTGTGGGGAACAGATTATTTACAGTGGACAAGTTTAGTACTGCCATGTGCTGCAAAGTATGTTAGTGGGAAGTGGGTTATGTACGTAAGTATGAGTATGTATGTGTGTTTGTCTGCGTCTGCTGGAGCCTCACAGTGAGTGGGATGCCAGTGGAGGGAAGGGCAGCGGATGGTTCAGGGGCTCAGTCCATTCCTGCGATTTAACATGACACCACTTGCACTAAGACTGCGACAGCTGCATATGCACATGCCGGCCATTCTGTTTGTTGTAGGGGATTACGCTGCGATAAAAGCCCCAGTGAGCAGCAGCATGGCTGGGCTACAGAACTACTGTTGCCCCCCTGACTTTGAAAGCTTTCTCTCGGCCTCCAGAGCCCTGTGAAAACACAGGTGGGGCGCTTCACTCTG